GCACTTGCAGCTCCTTTTGTCTTATGAGCTTTATTTTCTACAGTTCTGTTAACTGTGGGGGATATAGCATAAGAGCCAATATTACTCTGTTTCCACTTTGCAGAAGAGGAGTTATGTTGCTTTGATTTTTGACTGCCAGTTTGGACATTTTTGTTTTTGTCCATGGATTCACTTTTAGTGATTTTTTCTTGTGATCTAAGTTTTCCTCGGCTTCGTATTCTTTGTACGTAAGCTCGAAGTCCATCAAAGATTTGGCTCTGTGATAAGATGTTGGTGTTAAAATGAGTGCATAGGCTGTCTATGACCTCATTAGGAAGTTTCATTTGAATGACTAACTTTGTAAGCCACTCTGCATTTCCTACAGGTACATTTGTACTGAGGGCTTTGATGATTGATTCTATAGACAATCGAAATGATTGTAGGGACTCATAACTTTTATTTGGAGAGGGTAAATCCAATAATTTGTATGAGAGACGGGCAATTGCAGTCTCCTTATCACTGTAGTTATCTTTTAACAACTGTAAGGCATGGTCATAATCATCATCTGTTAATGACAAATTAGCAATGACCTGCCTTGCCTCTCCCCGTAACTGGCCTTGCAAATATTGAAACTTCGTCGCTTTTTTGAGAGAAGCGTTGGAGTTTATTATAGAATCAAAGGCTCTCCAGAAGGTATCCCAATCGTCTTCATCCTTGCCCTCAAAATATGGTAAATGTACCTTTGGGAGCTCTGCTGCTATATGTGTGATAGTAGCATTGCTCTGTTGAGTGGATGAGCTCACATTGGATTGGGTTCCTGCTTGAGATATTTGTTTGATTAAAGGTTCAAGTTGATCTTGGATTTTATCTTCATACATTGTCATTTCAGCAATGATTTCCTGAAGTTCCCTTCAGGTTAAATCTGCAGTAGCCATTTCTGTTAGATAAATCTCTGCATGGCGTTTGATTTGTTTATACTTATCAACAGCTGCTTTTACTCTGGTATTCAGAATTATTAAATCAGGAGATGGTTGTCTAGCTAACTTTTGACATTTGTCAATCAGTTGAGTTAGGTGATTTTGTAGACCATTAAGTGTCCTTCTATTTCCTGTTTCAGGTGCTGGTGGAATACTGTCAGCCATTTTGACCTTTTCTGAGTTTCGGAGATTCCGAGATATTTTCTCTTTTCTGATAAATATGTATGATGTTAATGTATTTTGATAAATGAGCTTTCCTGTCTACTTAGGTAATGATTCCAAAGATCGTCCTTCATTTCCTCCGTGGAATCTGGATGTAGCAGGTGTTCAATTATCAAAGGTACTGACTGTAATAATTTGGTTTGTGATCCGAATGCACGAATACGCAAGTTGGTAAATCCTGTAATAATTTTTTAAAAAGAGTAAATGGCACTATTTTGCAAAGTTATTACAAGATCTGTTACCCTAATAGTTGCTTGATAAAATACAGTAGAATGTCTACTGGTTTTACCTGTAATAGGGTTTGATACAGTTGATTATAGTTAGATTGTAATGAAATGCTCTTACAGTGATAAAAACCCTTTTTTAAGGAATATTATGTAATGAGCAGCTCTGAAATTCAGTTGATTATAGATAATGCTAGATAATACACTTAAATATGTATATATGTTACCACAAGTAAGGTAAATAATGGTATTTTATGATTAAGATGCAGTTGTGTCTTTGACACTGATATAATTAGGTACTGTGGTTTCTTAACACAGACCAATATTAGTATGCTATGAATGCTTATTAGTTAATGGATATGGTGGCTTAAGCCACTGCAAACAATATGTTTACTTAGATATATAGCTATGATAAATATTGGCTGATAGCTAGGTTAGGCTAGAATATGTAAAAATTATTCCAATGCAAACTCAAGAAGTTTCTTATGTATTTGCTGGAATGATATTTGGTAAACGAATGACCATAAATATCTAGGTTCGAAGGACCATTAATGTGGGAAAAACCTGCTGGGATTGATATAAGAGGAGACTACTAGAGACTTGAACTGAACTAAATTAAAAAATTATTGTCTGCAAATTAATTCCTAGAATCACTAGCTAGGGTCGTAAATCCTAGCTCCTCTTTTCCTAATGACAGATTGTGGGCTGTAAGGGACAGGTGGGGTGAATGAATTAGTTGATAGAAGTTCCAGTCCACCTGTAGACAGGGATCTCACATCAGCTTGTATATTATAAAAGGATAAGATTTGATAAATTCAGTTATATGACTGAACACTGGCTCTGTTTAAATCAGAGATTTAAACATACATAGTCTAACCTAGCACCATAACTATTAACAGCTAATAGGTTCTTATACTATAAACAACAAATTCAATTGTAAAAGTATAATAAATGACTTTAAATGTAGTCTAAGCACTTAACTAAGTACTAGAAATTATTCAATTAAATGAACTTGTATGATAACTTATAAAATAACTAAGCAAGCAATTGTTAACTTAATTTATATATTCAAATATAAATGCAGACATATTTATATTCAATTTATATGATTATGTAGTCAGCTTGACTGAATCCTTTTCCACACAATGGACACTCATGAGACTTTATTTACGCATTGCGACTGAATCCTTTTCTGACACAACTAGACACTCATGAGGTCTAGTGCCTGGATAAGGACCTGCTGCTCTTCTACATTATTAATAAACTTAGTGAAATGTGAGGCTTTGCCTCGCTTTTTAACCGACAGACAGATATATAGGATATTATTAAAGTCACACAAGCATACAATTGGCCAATCATATACCAAAATAACCTTCAATATACTTCTCTGCCAGTCGGGGTGCCTGTCTGACAAGGTGCCAGACTGATTAACTCTCTCTTGTTGAGTTTAGGCACGATATTTTGTCACAGTGTTGCTGTATGATGTACTGGTAGCGTTGCTACGTGATTGACCCTGCAGTTGCAGAAGAATGATAGTTGATGAATATTAAGAATGGAGGTGGTGGAAACCGAGTCACTGTAAGCTCCACTATACACTCCTATTTTATATAAATGATCTAGGATTTTCCTTGTAGATATTGTCCAGATACTCCCCCAGTTCTAGAGAGTGTTCACTGGTGATAAAGATATTAGATAAGGTGTCCTTGAGCTGGTAATGTTCGCTAAGGATCCGTCACACTTGTTCACAGTTGTCAACACACGTGTGGTCCTCGTGGGCTCTCGTGGGCGCTTCTTCCCCGATCCCCTCCCATGCTCCCAGAGCACGGAAGTCTTCTATGGATATTGATTGATTATTTTTACAGTCTAGACTTATGATTGAGATAACATGTAATTATAATATAATTTGATATAGGATTTAAAGCTTATAAGTAGTACTTGATAGTACCACTGATTCTTATTAAGGATTCGATTTTATCCCTACTGGATATTGAATCAATGTTCCAATAATTTTTTAATTAAAAAATTCCTTCTAGAAGCTTCTGGATCCATAAGAGATCATGCACAAAGTCACGTAGGCATCTATAGGGCCCTATGCGTACGGGATCCAAGTGACATTATCTTCTAGGATCAAGTTGTATAATGAATCTATAATGATTCTGATATGATTTTAGATATGATTTTGGTATGATACAGAAATTATACATTTCTTAGATGATAATTTGATATGGTGGGTAAAAATTTCCCACAGCACACAGGACAGTTTGCCTTTAAATATTTACATGGTAATCACTTATTTGCTGTTGGTAAAAGTTTATTGGTTCCTATTGTGGCCGCCCAGCACGTCCAGACACGGAGTGGTGATGTACCAGTTATGGTCTTCATCTTCTTACTAAGACCCTAGATGGGAAACAAGGGACGCAGGATAATTTGTTATTGTTAATGAGGGATGATTACTGGAGGCTTGAGGAAGCTAATGTGAGTGCAATGTTGGCATGGGAGTTTACACTTTTGTGATAGGCCTAAAACAACCCTGGTTGTGGTGTACAATATCAATGAAACAACCCTAGGTATGGTGTGCAGTTTAAGGGTTAATAATCCTCCACAGGTAGATAGACCTTAATACCAAAAACACTGGCATACTAGACCACTAGCCCTTACCAGCAATAGCGGGAACTCAACCCTATTAACACAAGTGGGTCAGAGTTTCCTATATTGTTTCTTAGTGAAAACGTTTCATCGACATATTTATACTAATTTGGACATTCTGTATGTTACATTTAAGCAGCAGTGTCATGTTTATACAGGTGTGATGAACCTCAATAATATTCCAGCATAAGACTGATGAGAGGCCTTCAAGAGGCTGCAAATGAATTTTGTAAATTAGTAATCATAGTCCTGTGATCAGGTCATTCAAATGGAGAAGCTGTAATGTGAATATATTTACCGGTCATAATTTCAGATTCCTCAAGCGAACGAATCATCTAAAAAAAACTGGAACATTTTGAAAACTGAAAATGATTCAGGAAAATGATTATGTAACACATTACTGCGTTTTATTGATGAAGTGAAGTTTGGAAGCGCTTTAGAGCCCATTAGGTCTTCAAGCGCTAGACCTTATGAGCTCAATTCACCTTTATTATTTAGGTTAATTAACAAATGCTTGTAATAGCTTTATCCACTTAAGGTTATCTAACAAATAACTTTATAGCTTTATCCACTTAAGGTTAAGTAACAAATGACTTTAAAGCTTTATCCACTTAAGGTTAAGTAACAAATGACTTAATAGTTAAGATCAACAGACATTGGGGTTAGGTTTATCCAACAGTGTCATTTTGATGAGACACTGTCCCTAGCGTTAATTTGCACTACTATTTTGGTTAACTAATGGAGGTCAATGGGTTAATTAGTGAAAGGCTGGTCTAATTATTTCCTTAAATTTTTGTGGTTCATTATGTTATATTAAGCAACTCAGGCTCCTTAATAAAACAATTTTTTCTAGAATAATTGATACATCGCTCTATTATCTGGATTACCTTACTTAAGCCTTTGTTTCATATGGCTGTATTTCTGAACAAATTATTGTTACTTTATCTCTCAGGTTGTTGAAGGGTCAGATCCACTTAAGGAAACACAGTCACTGATAAACATACCTACAAATTTGACCGATGGACCTCTGTGGCGAGTTCGACTTTTATCATCTACCCCTGAAGCCCTTCCTCCTCGGCCAGAGATAAACAAAAAATTCCCTTTTCGGAACACAGTGATATTTGAGTGCCAACATGCAGCAATTGATGGTGCTGATATCATGATGATTATTGGTTGGTTCCATAAAATCATTGATGACATGCTCAGCGGAAAGCCCATTGATGATTCGCAATTGGGTCAACTTGCAGACCACAGTCACACATCAGAAATAACCCAACAAATAAAATCGGCTCTTGAAAATGATCCTGAACGGTTGAGCTCATTACTTAAACTTAAAAAACAAGAGCCGGCCACTTCTGTCCTCATTGAAGCTTTCGGAGCCCCAGAACCATCTCAGGCAGAGACAAAATACTTGGAAAATGTTTTTCTGAATATCTCAGACGTTGATAAGTTTCATGCCAAGTGTCAGTCTGAAAATATATCGTTCAATGCTGGATTTACAAGTATAATTAACACGGCTCTAGTTGAGGTAGTAAGGGAGGCCGGCTTGACACGAGACGCCTACAATATTAGGAGTCGTGTTCCCATTGATATGCGTCGTTACATGAAAGGTTACTCCAAGACCTGCTTTTTAGGTTTCCATGGTGCTCCAATGTATCAGAGCATTTCAACACCTTACAATGTTAAAGATCATTTCTGGATGTATGCAAAGCAGTATCATATTCAGTTTCAGAATAACTTGAAGAAAAAATCATTTATTGAAGATATGATCATTGAGAGAATGCTTCGGCCAGCTGATTTTTCTCCTGAGAAATTCTTTGCAAATCCACAACCTATTACGAGAGACTATTTGTTTACAAATATGGTTACACATCTTTTCAGAATATACGGAGTAGGTAAACATGTTCAGCTAACAGATCTTAAAAGTTATGTAAATATTCATGCTCTTAACGTTACATTCATCTGCGCCTTACTCAAAATATGTGAAGAGGTCCGGTTTGATGTCTGGTACTCGTCACGGGGATTAACAAGAAATACAGCACAAAACATTGTTGACAAAACTGTTTCAGTCTTCAGTGAAATTTGTGAAAATATATAATGTTTAGATGATAGATCAAGGAATTCCTTCATATGTAAGAAATCCTAGATGTCAAGAGTGGGTCACTTTGGGGCTTAAATAGCCAAATTACATTTCAATATTTACTGTAACATTTCGACGTGTATGTACTTAGTTATGTGTAATGTAAAATTGGCTCCAGCAAGTCAATGATAGATAGTAAGTGCTCTCAAAACTTAAAGCCTCATTATCCAACCTATCCACCTGTTTTGGTGAGTACTAATAGTAACGATGAGAACATTGTTATATATGCTGATGTACAACGAAATTAGAGAGTAGAAATCTGAACTAATGAGTTGGACAAACCGGAAAATTATTTGTTACTTGTGTTGCTTTGACACACACCCTCATGTGATGACTAGTGTGCATTTGGGGGTTCCAAGAATTATCCTCATGGCTTCATTTCTAATTCTCTCTAAAGCTTTCATCCTATTGCTAGAGAGACTCATAAGGTGCAGGGCAATGTAGTCCAATAGTGACATGATGGACATCATGTAGAACATTCTGGCACTTTTTACATTGATAGAGGTGACTTGATCATTAAGTTTTCCTTAAAATTCATTTCAATTTTAATTTTGATGACCAAATACTCAAAATATCATCACCCTAACTAAACCAAGGAATAATTCTGGGGGTAATTTTACAAATAAATTTCTTTAAAACATTTCTTATACAGATTTGAAAGAAATAGTTTTTCTTTCGAATTAATTTTTTCTTTCGATTAATTTATCATCATTGATTTGGAACATTCTTTAATTTGTTAAAAATCATCTAACTAAAGATCATCTAAATCCATCGAACTAGTCAAATGCGAATAAGAAATAGTACCAAAGAGTGGGGACAAAATTTTAGTGAGCCACTTAGAAAGCTCAAAGATAATGGGGCCCACAAAACTTATAATAGGCCTTGTGGTATAATTAGGCTTATGAGTCTTGATTAAATGGAATGATAATAACTATTGTATACAATTTGTGTGGATCCCTTCCCATGCTGGTGGAAAACATGACTTTGTAGATCGATTGGATAATGAGGCTTGCAGGAAAGAAAATATTGATTATGACTATGGACTATCTAATGCAATTATTAGAAGCATACAAATTAAAGAAATTAATTCAGATTTAGAAGAACTAAGAAATGCCCAGAGACCTAAAAGCTGCAGTATTAAAAGCTATGTCAAGTTTTGTAATAATAGGTATTTGTATGTCAGCACAGTAACCGGACCAGGCAATGTGATGTAGTCATTACCCGAATTCGCCTTGGCAATAAGCACATCTGGCAGGTTACTGTGGCTGAGCCACTACCAGAATATTCCGATTGAAAACTCTGTGACAAACCTTCAATGCATTCACTAGAACACTATATTGTTGAATGTGAAACCGTAAAAGAGTTTAGACCTATTGTACCATCAACTGTGTAACTATTTCATTGAATTTGGTGTACTGGACGACATCCTAAAAATTTATCCAAAATTTGCTTGTCCATTTTAAAGAATGAAGAACAATTATATATATATATATATATATATATATATATATATATATATATATATATATATATATATATATATATATATATATATATTATTAAATATGACCGAAAAAGTAAGATTAATAATTCTAACACGAATTTTCTCAATCTTTCGTACATTTCTTTTCACTGTTGGAGGTAAATCAAAAATCAATTCTCCAAAATTAATTTTTATTTCTAGTCTGACGCGACACGAGCGCGTTTCGTAAAACTTATTACATTTTCAAAGACTTTAGTTTACAAATACACAACTGAATAGAACTTACGCATCTCCGATTTTATATCTACATTTGAGTGAGGTGGAAGGGGTGATGTGGCATTAATCAACACAAGACAGAACAAGGGGTGGCATTAATAGGGTATTAATTTCATCAACACAAGACAGAACAAGGGGTGGCATTAATAGGGTATTAATTTCATCAACACAAGACAGAACACGAAACAATGGGTATTGAATAGAATTGTTTGTAGAAAGCCTATTGGTCCATATTTCTTGATGCTTCTATATTGGAGCGGAGTTTTGAGGTGGGTAGAATATAATTGTGCAATAATTGGCTGTTGATTGCTGGTGTTGACTTCTTGATGTGTAGTGCCTCGCAAACGTCAAGCCGCCTGCTATCGCTGTATCTATCGATGATTTCTGTGTTGTTTACTAGGATTTCTCTGGCGATGGTTTGGTTGTGGGAAGAGATTATATGTTCCTTAATGGAGCCCTGTTGCTTATGCATCGTTAAACGCCTAGAAAGAGATGTTGTTGTCTTTCCTATATACTGGGTTTTTTGGAGCTTACAGTCCCGAAGAGGGCATTTGAAGGCATAGACGATGTTAGTCTCTTTTAAAGCGTTCTGTTTTGTGTCTGGAGAGTTTCTCATGAGTAGGCTGGCCGTTTTTCTGGTTTTATAGTAAATCGTCAGTTGTATCCTCTGATTTTTGTCTGTAGGGATAACGTTTCTATTAACAATATCTTTCAGGACCCTTTCCTTCGTTTTATGAGCTGTGGAAAAGAAGTTCCTGTAAAATAGTCTAATAGGGGGTATAGGTGTTGTGTTAGTTGTCTCTTCAGAGGTTGCATGGCTTTTCACTTTCCTTCTTATGATGTCTTCGACGAAACCATTGGAGAAGCCGTTGTTGACTAGGACCTGCCTTACCCTACAGAGTTCTTCGTCGACTTGCTTCCATTCTGAGCTGTGGCTGAGAGCACGGTCGACATATGCGTTAACAACACTCCTCTTGTACCTGTCTGTTGGAAATAGTAGAGTTGGAAATTCTGTTGGACGACATATTCGACCTCGAGACACAAAAGAAGGTCACTACCAAAGATACCTTACAAGCAGAACTTATTGCAGAAGGAGGAAAGAATCGAGGCAATTACAGAAGCACCATACTGTCCCCCGAGCTTAAAGCGGCAGCTAAAAGCCTTCGTGAGAACAAGGAGATAGTTGTCAGGAGAGGTGACAAGTCGCCAATATATGTCATTCTTAAAAAAGACGAATATCTGGCGAAAATGAACATCATACTCTCTGACCAAACTAAGTTCCAAAGGGTAACGAAGGACACTACAGCCGAATTCAAAGCAAAGGTCAACAAACTGATCGAAACTGTGAACGCAAAGAAATCCGGACTCCACCTGCCAAAGATCATTGGGGAATATAAACCTGGATATGCGTATGGAAATGTCAAGACACACAAGCCTGGAAACCCACTTCGGCCAATCATTAGCCAGATACCCACACCCACGTACAGACTGGCGAAGCGACTCAACGGCCTGCTGACTCCTTATGTTCCTTGCGCCTTCAGCCTGAAGTCTCCAAAGGAATATGTTGACTTACTGCGGGGCACACGGGCCACAGGGATAAGAGCCTCGTTGGACGTAGAATCGCTGTTTACCAACGTACCTGTGGACGAGACAATCGGAATGATAGCCGACAGAGTGTATCGTGATCCAGCCTGTACTCCTCTTGACATACCAGAAAATATTCTGAGGAAACTACTCCAAGCTTGTACTAAAGAGGCACCCTTCTTGAGCCCGGATGGGCACATGTATAAGCAAGTAGATGGGGTCGCCATGGGTTCTCCCCTAGGTGTCCTGTTTGCAAACTTCTACATGGGTACCATCGAGCAAAAAGTCTTAGTCGACATGAACTTAAAACCGGCCATATACTGCAGGTATGTTGACGACATTTTTACACAGGTACCTGATGTCAGACATCTGCAGGAGCTGAAGGAGGCATTTGAGCAGAGTTCTGTGCTGCGTTTCACTTACGAGATGGAAAAGGATGGGAAGCTGCCCTTTCTAGATGTAACAGTCATGGAACAGAGCGGAGGTTTCCACACTGCAGTCTACACTAAGGAAACGAACATAGGACCGTGCCTAAATGCCAACAGCGACTGCCCAGACAGGTACAAGAGGAGTGTTGTTAACGCATATGTCGACCGTGCTCTCAGCCACAGCTCAGAATGGAAGCAAGTCAACGAAGAACTCTGTAGGGTAAGGCAGGTCCTAGTCAACAACGGCTTCTCCAATGGTTTCGTCGAAGACATCATAAGAAGGAAAGTGAAAAGCCATGCAACCTCTGAAGAGACAACTAACACAACACCTATACCCCCTATTAGACTATTTTACAGGAACTTCTTTTCCACAGCTCATAAAACGGAGGAAAGGGTCCTGAAAGATATTGTTAATTGAAACGTTATCCCTACAGACAAAAATCAGAGGATACAACTGACGATTTACTATAAAACCAGAAAAACGGCCAGCCTACTCATGAGAAACTCTCCAGACACAAAACAGAACGCTTTAAAAGAGACTAACGTCGTCTATGCCTTCAAATGCCCTCTTGGGGACTGTAAGCTCCAAAAAACCCAGTATATAGGCAAGACAACAACATCTCTTTCTAGGCGTTTAATGATGCATAAGCAACAGGGCTCCATTAAGGAACATATAATCTCTTCCCACAACCAAACCATCGCCAGAGAAATCCTAGTAAACAACACAGAAATCATCGATAGATACAGCGATAGCAGGCGGCTTGACGTTTGCGAGGCACTACACATCAAGAAGTCAACACCAGCAATCAACAGCCAATTATTGCACAACTATATTCTACCCACCTCAAGACTCTGCTCCAATATAGAAGCATCAAGAAATATGGACCAATAGGCTTTCTACAAACACTTCTATTCAATACCCATTGTTTCGTGTTCTGTCTTGTGTTGATGAAATTAATACCCTATTAATGCCACCCCTTGTTTTGTCTTGTGTTGATGAAATTAATACCCTATTAATGCCACCCCTTGTTCTGTCTTGTGTTGATTAATGCCACATCACCCCTTCCACCTCACTCAAATGTAGATATAAAATCGGAGATGCGTAAGTTCTATTCAGTTGTGTATTTGTAAACTAAAGTCTTTGAAAATGTAATAAGTTTTACGAAACGCGCTCGTGTCGCGTCAGACTAGAAATAAAAATTAATTTTGGAGAATTGATTTTTGATTTACCTCCAACAGTGAAAAGAAATGTACGAAAGATTGAGAAAATTCGTGTTAGAATTATTAATCTTACTTTTTCGGTCATATTTAATAATATATGTCTACAGGAAAGACTGCTACCAAAATATACTAATATATATATATATATATATATATATATATATATATATATATATATATATATATATATATACATATATATAACACTGATCCAAGTATGCAGAATGACCACATGTGTAAAATAGAGAATGCTTAATGCGTTTTCGGGTAATTCGCCTTCATCAGAGCAAAGTAGAATGAATCTACTACTTCATTCTACTTTGCTCTGATGAAGGCGAGTTAGCCGAAAACGCGTTAAGCATTCTTTTTTTTTCACATGTGGTTATTCTGCATATATATATATATATATATACTATATATATATATATATAGTATATATATATACATCTCTTATATATATATATATATATATATATATATATATATATATATATATATATATATATATATATATATATATATATATATATATATATATATATACTGTATATATATGTATATATATATATATATATATATATATATATATATATATATATATATATATATATATATATATATATATATATATATGTCGTACCTAGTAGCCAGAACGCACTTCTCAGCCTACTATGCAAGGCCCGATTTGGCTAATAAGCCAAGTTGTCATGAATTAATTGCTTTTCGACTACCTAACCTACCTAACCTAACCTAACTATTTCGGCTACCTAACCTAACCTAACCTATAAAGATAGGTTAGGGTAGGTTAGGTAGGGCTGGTTAGGTTCGATCATATATCTACATTAATTTTAACTCCAATAAAAAAAAATTGACCTCATACATAATGAAATGGGTAGCTTTATCATTTCATAAGAAAACAATTAGAGAAAATATATTAATTCAGGAAAACTTGGGTTATTAGGCAAATCGGGCCTTGCATAGTAGGCCAAGAAGTGCATTCTGGCTACTAGGTACGACATATATATATATATATATATAT